GAGTTTCTCAAGAAAAAACTTCATCTCTCCAATTGTGTAGCCATTCATAGCTTAGCTCACATGTACACCCTAAGCCAGCTTGCTCTGAAAGCTGCTGATATGATACGGAGAAATTTCCACAAAGTAATTCAGGATGAAGAATTTTATACTTTACCTTTCCATCTCATTCGAGACTGGCTTTCAGACTTGGAAATCACGGTTGATTCTGAAGAGGTTCTCTTTGAAACAGTTTTGAAGTGGGTTCAGAGAAATGCTGAAGAGAGAGAGAGATACTTTGAAGAACTTTTTAAATTGCTCAGGTTGTCCCAGATGAAACCTACCTACCTTACGCGGCATGTCAAACCAGAGAGACTGGTAGCCAATAATGAAGTTTGTGTCAAGTTGGTGGCTGATGCAGTGGAGAGGCATGCCCTGAGAGCTGAGAATATACAATCTGCCACCTTCCAGCACCCTGCTTCTCATGTCTCATTATTACCTCGTTTTGGGCAAAACATGGACGTGATCATGGTTATTGGGGGTGTGTCAGAAGGAGGGGACTATTTAAGTGAATGTGTGGGGTATTTTGTTGATGAAGACAGATGGGTAAACCTGCCCCATATTCATAATCACCTTGATGGACATGCTGTTGCAGTAACAGAATCCTATGTGTATGTTGCTGGATCGATGGAACCAGGGTTTGCTAAAACTGTAGAAAGGTATAACCCAAATTTGAATACGTGGGAACATGTTTGTAGTCTGATGACAAGAAAGCATTCTTTTGGACTGACAGAAGTCAAAGGGAAGCTCTATAGCATTGGAGGACATGGCAACTTTAGTCCTGGCTTTAAAGATGTGACTGTTTATAATCCTGAGCTTGATAAATGGCACAACTTGGAATCAGCACCAAAGATTCTTCGAGATGTCAAAGCACTAGCCATTGAAGACCGCTTTGTGTACATTGCTGCCCGCACTCCTGTGGACCGGGACACTGAAGATGGATTAAAGGCTGTAATTACTTGCTATGATACAGAGACTCGACAGTGGCAAGATGTAGAGTCTTTGCCACTCATTGACAATTACTGCTTTTTCCAAATGTCGGTGGTCAATTCAAACTTTTATCAGACAGCATCATGCTGTCCCAAGAGTTATTCTTTAGAAAATGAAGAGGCAGTAAGAAAAATTGCCAGTCAAGTGTCTGATGAGATCCTTGAAAGCCTGCCTCCAGAAGTCCTTAGCATCGAAGGAGCAGCCATTTGCTATTACAAAGATGACGTCTTCATTATTGGAGGCTGGAAAAACAGTGATGATATTGACAAACAGTACCGGAAAGAAGCCTATCGATACTGTGCTGAGAGAAAGAGGTGGATGCTTCTTCCTCCCATGCCGCAGCCTCGTTGTAGAGCCACTGCTTGTCATGTGAGGATCCCATACCGGTACTTGCATGGCACACAGAGATATCCTATGCCTCAAAACCTAATGTGGCAGAAAGACCGCATCAGACAGATGCAAGAAATACATCGGCACGCCCTAAACATGAGGAGAGTCCCAAGCTCTCAGATCGAATGCTAGGTTCTGTATACATGCAGCTTAAGACTGTTATACCTGTCTCGTGAAGTGGAAGATACATAGACTGTTACTTGAAAAGTATGTTGATAACTTATTTTCTACCTGAACTGATTATTACCTACCCTCAAAAAGGAAGTATAGTTAAAAACTGAAGAATGGGAAACTCAGTTCAATATGTGATAATTTTTGTTAGTTTGCAGTCGTTATCTGTCTTTGGTTTGTGTGTATGTGCTAGCTAAATAAGATCTTATTAAAGACAAGTGGAAAATCAGATGTAGTTACTTGGCTGTTTCTCTGCCAATAAGATATAACTCCTTTGTCTTGGGGACTTAGGTTTTGAACATGCTTTAAGCACCAATTTTATTTGCACATAAACTTTGATATTCTTTTTTGTTTTTTCCAGAATGGTTGGTTTTGGCAAAGTCAGAATTTATGCATCGAGCCCTTATCTGCAGGAGGCATGTGCAATAGTGAGACTAAAATTTGAAGGAAAATGAACAATATTTTCAGCAAGGAGATTTCAGAATGTTCACATTGATATTTTGCCGTATTTATCTGGAGATGATATTTTCATTTCTAGAATAGGTGACTGATGAGAAATTTGTGATTGGCTCACGCATTTTTGCAATATTTTTCATTTCTTTAGCAGCTGTTTATAGAATTTAAGCCATCACTCTGAGATGATGGTAGTTGGCAAAAGTGTCTTTAACTGATTAAATACAGAGGAAGTTACATATATGAAATTTGTTTCTCTAAGAAGAACAGTATTATCAGTGTAGACTGAGAAATCAAAGGCAAACACTTTTTTCAGGAGTTGCAGGCTTATTTGAGGATATGTTAATGAGTGTAAATAATGCCTATGACAATCGACACTCAATGCCTTCAGTTTTAATTTTTGCTCTAATGCATATTGTGTGGTCTTCATCATTCCTTTCTGTAAGAAACATTTTTTTTCCCAAATGGGAAGGAATTAATCTTAGAGAAATGTTGCTAAAGAGAAGCCTTACCATTTCTGGCCCTGATTCTTGTAGTCTATCCAATTTGCCCTAGCATTTTATTGGAACTTTTCCTGAGACTAGAATACCAAATTTGGGTGCATAATTTTGACTTAAAGATTTATCACTACAGGTATATCGTATTGATTTTTAAGCATTCTTCTAATTCTCTTACACATTCCTAAGCTTTATACAAGTTAGAACTCAGGTTTACTCTTTTAACATTAACACAAAGGACTCCTGTTCTAACGGTTTGTAATGTTTGTCCAGTATACCTTTCTTGTTTTCTTAAGGAATGTGTTTACCTTCTTAGACATTCCAGAATACCATTCAAGAGGTCAGATTCCAAGTGCAGTGTTTTTGTTTCTTTTTTTTCCCCTAGTAAATTAAACTTAACCTTCTTGTTAGTTGCATGATCAAACATTACAAGAAAAAACACCAGGCGTGGTTATTCATGCCTGTAATCCTAGCACTTTGGGAGGCCCAGGCAGGATGATCCCTTGAAGTCAGGAGTTCAAGACCAGCCTGAGAAGAGCGAGATACTGTCTCTACAAAAAATAGATGAATTAGCCAGGCATGGTAGAGCATGCCTATAGTCCCAACTACTCGGGAGGCTGAGGGAGGAGGATCGTTTCAGCCCAGGAGTTTTGATGTTGCAGTGCGTATGATGATGCTACTGCCCTCATGATGCCCAGACAACAAACGGGGACCCAATCTCTGGGAAAAAATTAAAAAGCACAATGAAAAGTTTTGGTTTTCGGCTCGGCGCCTGTGGCTCAACCGGCTAAGGCGCCAGCCACGTACACCTGAGGTGGCGGGATCAAATCCCAAGCCCGGACCCGCCAAACAACAATGACGGCTGCAACTAAAAAATAGCCAGGCATTGTGGTGGGCGCCTGTGGTCCCAGCTACTTGGGAGGTGAAGGCAGGAGACTCACTTGAGCCCAGGAGTTGGAGGTTGCTGTGAGC